TTTAATTCAAAAAATCGAGATAGTCATATGAGATATCGACACATCAAATTCATAGAAAAGACTAAATATATTGTATTCATGAAACAAAGTTATATTCATCATTTGACTATTACAAAGGGTGACTTGTAGTCGGCCCCTCAAAAATAGAAAACAATTAAAGAAAAATTAAAGAGAATGGTCAATAAAAACTTCTTTTGATAAATCTTAACTATCACTTAATAACTTTAAAACATACTTATCATCAGTCATGAACGGATTGCATTAGGTAAACTCTTATGTATTTTCGGCTAATAGAGACTTCAGCTTTCAAAGTAGTGACTTCTTAACAAAAAGTTTCAGCAGAGTCAGCGAATAATACCTTTATCTCAAAATTTTAATTATTGAATTCGGGACATTCTAGTTCATATTCATCCTTAATGGTAGTCATGGACAACTTCAAAAGCTTGATTTCAGTAGACAATTCTTCAAAGCACTTATTAAATGTGCCACTTCGAATAATTCTCTCAATGCATTGGAAGTAGACATCTAAGGAGCGCTCTCTCAAAGTAGAAGTTGGTGTCCTGCCCTTATTAATAGTTGGCCAAGTGATTTTACTCAAAGGCCCCAGCAATAGGCTAACTAGTAACTAATATTGAAGGTGTCTTAGATCTTTCTCTACAGCCAACCCAGCCAAGAGAAAGGCTGGAAGACATTTATAAAATTTAAATTAGACTTCTCAAGAAGATTTATATATAATTTTATCCAATATGGAGTTGAAAAAAATCATACTTAATAGTTTTTTGATAAATCTTAGAATTCACCCCTCAAATAGCTTCTTGCTCGATAAGCACTTTGGCAACTTCAATCGGTGCCATGCAGCTCAATTGGCGCTTGAGCGACTTCTATCACAGCCATCTCAATATTAAGCTAGGCGACTTCCATTCCGAATAAAGGGACCACTTGGTCAATATCTATTCTTTCTCCACTAAGCTCTTTGCGTAAAATAAATTTTTAGTACAGAAATTTTAATTTATGTATTAAAATAATGCTATATATATATATATATATATATATATATATATTAAAAATTTTAAACTTCCAATGTTTACCTACTTTTTTAGTACCCATCTGAGAGGTGGGAGGGTGGATATCAATAGAACAAATTCATTCACAACCTTAGATGGTGAAAAAGCATGTTGGTTGGCCAATGTTTTCAATGAAGCAATGAGACCCTAGCCTTTACCCTTCGCTTATTCTATCTTCACACTTCTTTTGCTCAGAAGAAGTTCCTTCTTTCTTCCACTTACCAAATTCTATCTTCACACTTCTTTTCCTCAGAAGAAGTTCCTTCTTTCTTCCACTTACCAAATAAGCTAGCAGTATACCTTTCTTCGAGTAGTTAATCTTATAATTTAGAACTAATATTTTTAATAGAAATGAAGAATTGTAAAGCTTAAGAGTAGTATGAAGTTGAAGAAAAAATCATTTGAGCAAGAAGCATTGATCTCCAATTTATAGACTAAGTATTTGTCGACATGGATAAAAGTATAATGTCATAAGTCAAAATTAAGCTGACTAATAAATATATAACTTTAGAATAAATATTTATGAAGGTTTAATGATTAATTAATAAAGAACACCTTATATACTCTCTATTATTTCTATAATAAAACCTTCAAATATATAATAAAACCTTCAATTTATAAGAAAATTGAGGAACTAACTATACATAAATATCTAAATATCTAGAGAATCAAGTTCAAACCAAGTCATCCGATTTAAGCTAAGTTGACCTAATTCAAGCCAAACTAATCTGGCCTACTCAAACTTAGGTCAAGAAAGACTCACTATTCTACAAATAAATTCTCCTTAAGAATGCTACTATGACCTAGGAATTTATCCTAGCCAGGTGAATGTGACCAATTAGTCAACTCTAGCCAGTATAATCTATGAAGTCGGCATAGTAACCATTCAAGAGGGACACTTTCTATGGGAAACTATTGCTCTACTAAATGGATATTTGACAATCAGTATATGTCAAGCCTGCGACTTATTAGAAACTTAACGATACTTCATTAATTCATATATTCTAATTGGACTACACTTATTATATTTATCTTATTTTCTGCATAGTTATGTATATAGTATTATTTAATATTCTGCAATATGAGGCTCTCAACACAATTCCAGTGAAAAATATCTCGAGGCTTACGCCTCAAATTTTTTTTTATGAGGCTTGCACCTCAGCTTGACTAAGGCCTGCTTAAGGCTCATTGGTGTGAGGCGTATGTCTCTTCCTATATATATATATATATATATATATATGTTAAAATTTATATAAATCCTAAAATAAAGCCCTAAAGAAATCACACCTTCATGCACTTCCGAGCCGCAGTAGCTTCCTCTTGATTGCCTTAATCTTCAATTCGCCACCTTCGCCACAACCACGACCGTCGTAGCTAACATAGAAGATCGCTTGGAAGCCGCACATCACCATAACCTCCTCTAAAATTTTTTGAGTATTATTCTCATCTTTATGTTGATGAAAAATATTTATGAAGGAGAAAAATTATTGAAATAAGTTAAAAAGAAGCAGATTGGAAGGCATTGAACTTCACATGATGAGGTAGGGGAGAGACCAATTTATTATGATGATGACTCAAAGAAAGACCCCTTTGGTGATAACAATGCATATGATTTTTTAGTTGTTACCAACTATTTCATCTTTCTTCAGAAATTTAATATGAATTAGTTGGGAACTAAGAAAGAAGAAATTTGAAGTTGAACTTGATGTTATGTGATACTTTTTTGCTATTCTTATATTTTATGTTGTTTTGCTCTTGTAATATTTGAATTTCATTTCTATTTCACACAATTTATCTTTGTTACTTTATATTATGTGCAATTTTTTATTTTATGAGTATGTTAATTTGTTAGTTTATTGTTTAATATAAATTTAATATATCATTCTTTAACATATTATTTGGGTATTATATAGAAACTATTTTTAACCTTGACTCTGAATAATATATCCAAAATATCTAAAATGTGTACTCTTATTAATGAATTGATCGCCCAAAGTCACAATCCCTTCACTACATTTATGACTACTAAAATTACACTCCATATATTCCGTTTTAGATTTACTCAAGCGAAATCTTTAGTCTTTAATGTTGACCTCCATAATTCAAGTTTACTTTCAACTCGCTCTCTAGTCTTATCAACAAGAAAAATATCATCAGCAAAAAGGATACACCAAGGTACATCCTCTTGGAAATGTCTAGTGAGAACATCCATGACTAAAGCAAAAAGATATGGGCTTAAGGCTGATCCTTGATGTAACACAACCGAAATAGGGAAATACTTGGTCAAACCACCTTGTGTTTGAACACAAGTAATAGCTCCTGCATACATGTCTTTAATGATTTGAATATAAGCATTATTAATTCCTTTCTTTTCAAGAACTCTCCATAGCACTTCTCTTGGAACTTTATCATATGCTTTTTCTAAATCAATAAATATCATATGTAGATCCTCCTTATTTTCTCTATATTTCTCCATCAAACCTCTGAATAAATGTATGGCTTCCATAGTCGACCTACCCGGCATGAATCCAAATTGATTTTGAGAAACATTAGTATCACGCCGCAACCTATGCTCCATAACTCACTCCCATAGTTTTAAAGTATGACACATTAACTTAATTCCTCTATAATTAGCACAATCTTGTGCATCACATTTATTCTTAAAAATAGGAATTAACATACTCATTCTCCACTCATCTGGCATCTTTTTAGTCTTCAAAATAGTATTAAAAAGTTTAATAAGCCATGAAATTCCTTCATCTCCTAAGCATTTCCACACCTCTATTGGAATATTATCAGGTCAAACAGCTTTTCCACCATTCATTTTTTTAAAGCCTTTCTAACTTCGATTTTACTAATACGGTGATAAAAACAAAAATCTTTATTTTCATTTAGGGTGCTAAGGTCACTATAGTCAATCTTATTTTCACAACCTTCATTAAAAAGTTTAGCAAAATATCTCATCCACCTTTGTTGAATATCATCTTCTAAGAAAAGTATTTTTTGATCTTCATCCTTAATACACTTCACTTGAACTAAATCATATAATTAGATTAATTAATATAACTTAATATATCTATTATTAAATATATGATTAATTGTATAAATAATAATTAATGGATAATTTGTACTTAACATATTATTAAATTTATAACACATTATATTTTTTATTTTTAATTATAAATTTATTTTTAAGTTATAATTATCTTCTTCACATTTAAAAGCCTAACTGCTATAAATCCTGAAATATGTTACCAAACAGTTTCTTCAGATTTAACAGAATTTAACATTTAGCATACCAAACAGTTTTCAGGATTTAACACATTTCAGATTTACTAAATCCGGATTTACAGGATTTACTAAATCCCACTAAAGTTAAATCCCACTTGTTGCCAAACAGCCCCTCAGATTCCTTACGAGCCTAAATCCTTACTACTCCTATCTCTATAAGAAATCAACAAAAAAAGAAAATAGAAGGAACAAAAGGATGTACAAAAAATGTGAGAGTACAATCTACAATGCCATGAATTACTTGATTATATTATTAAACATCCAAAACTAACCAGTCAAAACATATGATAATTACGGTCTAAGAAATAAAACAGCTTAAGTATGCAAACTGTTTTAGCTTTGTTTGAGACAGAGTTTTCTTACTGTTTTTTAAAGTACATTTTTAGCTCAAAAAAATTCTTAAATTAAAATTTTTTGTACAAGAAAAATGCTTTAAAAAGCAGTAAGAAAATTATCTAGACAGTTTTTTCTCTTTTTTTTTCTAAAACAATCTAGTATAATAATTTCTTACTCAAAAAGCTCTTTTTAAATCAATAAGAAAGCTGTCCCAAAGAAGCCTTAGTCTCCCTTAAACAATAAGGTGTCCTTGTAGCGAACAGGGAAGAAAAGAAAGATGAAATAAAATAACTATGACAGTGCAAAAACCTGATATTTAAGTTCGTAATACATAGTTGCAGAGAACATGAAGTGTTCAAGCCCAAGCCTTGGTCGTCCTGCATCAAAGCACTGCGATGCGAGAAAAGAGAGGACCACAAGTAAAAAGAAAGAAAGAGAAAGCAGGCCGGCTAAGTTATAGATTGTAGCGAGGGAATAGGCAAGTTAGCAAAAGAGGAAGAAAAGATGAAGAGAAGGTGAAAGAAGAGAGTCAAATAGAATGATGGACGTTGGATTTTGCGACCGCATCAAGGATGTCGCCTTTCTTGCAGCAAAAACAAAGAACGAGGCAAGCTGCTGTGTGGATTGGCCTGAGAAATTGGGAACAGAAGAGAGTCAAATTAGAGAGGTAGAAAAGGTTGGAGGATAACCTATGTAAGTGGAGCCCGGTGGCGCGACAACGATGAAGCTGGCGTCCTAATGCTGCATCAAACTGCATAGATGCAGGAGAAGGGCGTTTAGCGTAGAATTTAGAATGATTCTCAAAGAAAAAATAATAAAAAAGTGTATACAGTAGAAGAACATAGCGTAAGGTGCATGAATCTACCGATGAACAGACTAAGAATACTCGTGAGTACGGGACTGTTTTGCAACAAGGAGGATTTAATTATTTAGGATTTAGTAAATCCTATAAATTTTGAATTTAGTAAATTTTGGAACTATTAAATCTTGAAAATTATGTAACAAATTAAGTGACAGAGTCTATTATTCTGTGAAACTATTTGGCAATATAATTCAAGATTTAAGATGATTAATTTATTTAAAAATTAAATTTATTATGTTTTTAATTTAATTTACTTATTAAGTAAGAGTTAGTTATAAATTTAATTTTAATAATCAAATAATTTAAATAATAATTTAATTACTAAATATGGTACTAGTATCAAATTATTTATTTAGTTGTTAATTTAATAAGTATTTGATATTTAATTAAATAGTTCATTATTTTTAAAATAACTAATTATTTAACTAATACTCCTATTAAAAAATCATTAATTCTTTAAGTATTATTTAATTAGTTTTAATGATATATTAATTAAGCTAATTGTATTAAATTTTAAATACTAACAATGCAACAAATTATTTAATTATGCTAGTTTAAATTATTTATTTATACCACTAATTATTTAATCTAATTAATTATTAATATTTTAAATATTAATTAAGCTAAATTAGATTTATTTCTAACTTAGATGGTATGACGTTTAGGGCTTGAGTTATAAACTTAATTTATATTTTAAGTATAAGTTGCCTATTAATTTTAATTTTAATTATCGTCAATAAAATACAACTAAAAAATTATATAATTATGAAATTACTTATTAATTTTTATTTTAATTATATTATTAATTATTTATAAGTTAATTATTAATTTTAATTATCATTAATAACTAATCATTCTAAATAATTTAATCAAAATTTAAATTAATTATGAATTAATTTGAGTAATTAATTAATTATTATGTACATTATATTTTTGATTAATTTTAATTAAACTAGTTGAATCAAATTAATTAATTCCTATGATACTTCTTTGCCAATGCAATGGCAGCCAATTTAAAAAATTTCTCTCCTCTATCTTGTTGTAGAGTAGAGAGCTAGCTTATTGTGAAGGTAACAATTTTATTCCATTTGCGCGCTTCTTCGGCCAAATCCCGTAAATTCATCAAACTCTAGGGTTTAGTAAATTCACGATTTATTGAAAAAAGGTAGTAATGGCGGATTTATTCCGCTGTGAGATTTATGCCAAGTTAAAATCCTGGCAAGATTTATGCTAAATCCTGCTCAAATCGTATGTAAATCCTATTTCCAAACAACCCCTTAGTGTCAACAAATCATTTCACTTAGTCATACTTTCTATCCACAAATTATAAAATAAATAAAGAACAAAAGTCTACATTAGTACTTACTACATGTTTATATCATTAGCCAAAAACTAGAGATTTAGTTAGAATTGGATAATAAAGGAAGCAAACTCATTTTCATTTCATTCATATAAAAAAGATACATAAGAATGAATAAGATAAATATCACCAAGAAGGATCAATTGATATTCGACACACCCCTTCTTCTTCCCACAATAGATTGGCTTACACAACAACAGCTAAGATCTCCAAAAATGCATCTTACATTTTCGACTTTACTCTAAGGATAAACTAGAATAATATACTAGAAAGTACAAGATTATGCTGAAATGACAGAACTCTCTGAATAAAACAATTGAAAAACTATTTATACATGTACATAAATGAGTTTAGGCACTGCTGCAGTGGTGAAAATTGAATGGCACCTCAGCGCTATAATATCTGCTTCGCTATAGCACTAGGTTAACTTGGCACATTTACAGGGTGAACTAGTGCATCTTTTGGCTGAATCGATGTGGCTCCTATTTTTGGCAATTACTTTGCCACGACACAAAAAACTAAGTACTACGACACTTGAAAGTAAAATCCCTCACTACTGCATTCTAATGATTGACACTCCAACATTCACATTTTTTAGACTCCAGTGCTACGATATTGATTTTTGACAAAGTGATGTGTGTGAGGCACCGATGACTTTGGCTCTATTACGATGCTGATCTTCCCAAAATTTTAGAGAAGTCGATGCTACAATGTTTGATTTAGGCGTTAGAGTGCTGTAGTTGTCCATGCTACGGTGTTATACATGTGGGTGTTGTTCAAAACTTATGAATTTTGCCTTCTCCTAAGCATTTTTTTCGCACAAACACAATTAAAATAAAATATTTGAACTTATTTTAAACATAATAAATAATACATAATTTACACTTAATAAATTTCTCACAGCTTAAACTCTTGCTTTTCCTAAATCAATGATGAAATCAATTTTTATTAACTTAATAACTAAAGTAAAAATTTATAGTTTAAAATTACTAAAATGTAAGATAATGCAATATAGTCTAGAAGTAATTTGAAATGAACAAAATTATAGTTCTAATTTAAAAGGTAATAATAATTATCCCAATTAGTCACTCTTGCTATTATTTATATTGAGCCTATCCACTATGAGTGTATGTGAAAGATTAACTTCTAATTTTAGAAATGAATAATGTATCATTTATGAATTAGTTATGTTTGTAGTTAAACTGAATGTTTATTAGTGTGCAATCATATGTATTAGTTCACTTCTCTTATCTAATAATAATAATAATAATAATAATAATAATAATAATAATAATAATAATAATAATAATAATAATAATAATAATAATAATAATAATAATAATAATAATAATAATAATAATAATAATAATAATAATAATAATAATTTAAGCTACCAACTTCCTTTTTCTAAACTCAATTATTCATTTTTCAATTCAGTAGTCAGTGTATTAGTGTATTGTTTCTAAGTTCAAATCAAGTCAATTGCTTAAGTGATTTATATTAGTTAATTATTAAGTTATTAAAACTATGAATTATTATACAGTGTTCATTCAAACTATCATCTAGAGTTTTATTATTATCTTAATTTTATATACTTTTTATTTGCCATTTTTATTCTAGCTAAATAAGCAATCAAAGTGAAGCATAATGCAAAGAAAATTTTTCAGAACTTTAGCATAAAGGAATTTAAATTAAACGTAGAATAAAATTAGGATAAACATAAATAATTAAAACTAAAACCTAGTAACATAATGCATAAGAGACTCAAAACATAAAACATAATTGGGTTGCTTCTCATTAGCATTAAGTTTATAGTCTTCACCAAAACTATGTTAATTATTCTTTTTAAGGATGAACCAAACTAGTGATGTTTCTCAAGCGATCTATGTCCCCTTCTAAATAATATTTTAACTTATGACCACTAACTTTAAAAAAGTGTAAATTCTTTATATCCTGAATTTAAATAACCCTGTAAGGAAATAATTTAATCTATAATTAAATATCAAAACTTCTTGTCTAGAGGTGAAGTTTTTCTTAATAAGCTTACGATCATGCCATTTACTAACTTTATCTTCATAGATCTTAGCTTTTTTATAAGTCTTATTTCTAATTTCTTCTAATTTTATCAATTATATTAATCTCTTTTCTTCTTCTCCCTTATGATTAAAATTTAACTCTTTCACAACCTAAAATGCTTTATGTTCTAAGTCTATAGGTAGTTGGCAAGCTTTTTTAAACACTAACCTATAGGGAGACATTCTAATAATGGTCTTAAAAGTAGTCATATATGCCCAAAGTGCATAATCTAACTTAATAGCCCAGTCTTTCTTATTTGCATTAATAGTTTTCTTCAAAATTCTTTTAATATCCTTATTACTAATTTCAGCTTGTTGCCCTACTAATTTCAGCTTGTCCTCTAGTTTGAAGATGATAGACATTTGTAACCCTATGATGAATATGATGAATGCGGTGGAGTAACCTAAAGAATTGCAAAAAAAAATTTGGGCTTTATCAATTCCTAAACAATGCTTATGTTTTCTTTGATATAAAAATCTTACTTAATATACGCAAGTATACGTATTGAATCAAGTAATACATTAATAAAGTAGAGTATCAATCTCATGAGGAATAATATTTACTTGCATGTACTAGTACTGTCTACTTCAAGTATAACAATTATTCTACTCAATTAAAATAAGTTTTGGTGGATATTTAATCACTTAATTTAAAATGAAAAATAATTAATTGAGACACTATTGAAAGTTCGTTAGGGATGTTAAGCCCTATAGAACTAGCCCAAGGCTAACCAAGAGTGGGGGGGGGGGGG